TAGACTCTATGAGTCTAAGAGTACTGGTTCCCAGAAAGGGAATACTTTAACCAGGGGAAAGAGTAAAAGTTGAGCTAAGCACAAAGGTACAACTGCTTCCTGGTAAACCCCATAGACCAATAAGAAAGAAAGTAATGAATAATATTGATGTGGCAAATGACCCTGATGACCATGAGGAAAAGGGTAGTTGCTATGAATGGGAGGGGAAAGGGAGAGTATGTTAGGCTCTCAGATGATTCACTGGGCCATTTTTTGGCATCCTCATGCCCAATATAACTATAAGCTTGTAAGTACAGTGATAGCATTAGTATGGTAATCCTGGGCTCAGAATCCTCAGATATGTGGTCTGAGTAAAACATCGAGCAAGCCTCCCAGATGAGGAGAAGTGCTGGCTGAAGGAAAGGGAGATTTTTAGATCTAAAATGGCTAGGGGGCTGGACAGATCATGAATATCAATAATGGCTTTGACCAACTGCATTATCAAGTTGGGTGGGGCCTGACTACTCCTCATCAAGTAGATTTTCTTAGAAATTGCAAACTGTGACCAATTTGATAAACTTTGCCTGGATGAAGTGAACTTACATAAGCAGCAAGTGGATATGAGGGCTATGAAAAATGGACAGTAATGGAATACAGTACTGGCATGTTGCTATGTTACCAAGATTCTTTTTTATCAGCTGTGCACCTTTACTACACTTGCTGTGAATGTGAGCAGAATGTTAGCAGAATGTTCAAAGCTCTTCCCTTCTTTAGAGGTTTACCCTCTGCAAAAGAAGAGCCAGTTCCCTAGGGAGACAATCAAGAGCCTTGACCAGCCAATGACTAGTGGAGACAAGGATCGAAGAGGCTGTCTATCTTATCTCCAGGAGAGGCCAACTCAGTGGAGCAATTCACATTTCAGAGCCCCTCCAAAGGAACTGACCAAGCTATTCTCCAGCTGAGACTGCTATTTGTGTTTAGCCTTTATTTCCTGCTCTATCCTGCTGCCCTTGCTCTCCTCCTGAGAGCCCTCTTTTAATAAATCACATAAACAAGAATTCCTGACTTGGCTCTGTTTCTGGAGAACCTTACCTAGGACATATGGTAATATGCAAATCATTGGAAAGAATGCATCCTAAGCACAGGCCTTAAAGATTCTCACAAATATGATTCCAATGAATATTAGTTTATAATTTTTTTCAGATCACAAAACTTTAAAATACATATCATGAGTGAGATTCACCAGGAAGAAGATACAAATTTTTCAGAAAGCAGAATCATCAACTCAATTATAAAACATATATATAATATATACAAAACATGTGTTATATATACAATATATACATAGTATATGTTCTCTGTATATTATATATTGTATGTATACAAAATATGTTCTCTATATATTGTATGTATATAAATATACATAATCTTAATATATATTATATATAATTATATTTATTTTAAAACATATGATATATATACAAAATATATATCATAAAAAAATGTATAAAAAGGGAAAATGAAAACATGAATAACAACAATAAATCAATATCAAAATCCAATTCACCAAAAAAATAAAGTAATTTTGAATAGCATATAATAGATGAAACTAAAACTTAATATATGGATTAGAGAGATTAGACTGAGGAGAACTAAGAACTAGTGTGGTAGGAAGATGTGAATAAATAGCCCAAAATACAGTACTGAGTGACGTAAAGATGGAAAACACAAAGGTTGAGGTGCACAGAGGACACTGTGAGAAAGCTGACCTAAACAGAACCAGAGCTCTAGTTCAGTAGCAACCATGGTATAGAAGAAATATTTGATGAGATAATGCCTGAAATTCCTTTAAAGTTCATGAAAGATACCAATCCACAGATTGAGGAAGTAAACCTAACCACAAATGGTATAAAAAGGAATTCACTACTAGCTATATATCATGATTATATAGAGCAAGACTGCCTAGATTTGAATCCTGCCTCTTTTACTAACTAGCCAACAGGGACAAATTATTTCACTTCCTTTGCCAGTTTCTGATCTTAAAATGGGTTTAATAATAATACATACTTCAGAGATTGTTATGAGGATTAAATGACTCGATATCTGTAAAGCTCTTAGAATAGTGCTATTGAGTTTTTAGTAATCAGCTTTATAACTTTTATCCTGAATGCTTATACAAGGTGCTCTGAATCAAATATAGATTTCTTATGATTATCTCCCAATAAATAAGTAAATTGGCCTTCTGTGGCTCAAGCCTTACTCATAATGAAAACCCGGTCAAATGTCCTACATAAGTAGCTAAATACTTTATAGGTGAATGACAGAAAAGAATGGGATTTTCACCACTTCTATACTGGAGAAGACAGTCATCCTCTCCCATCCTGAAAGGAAAAAAAAATCTTTTGAAGCTTTGTGATGAGTTGGAAAGGACCCTGAGTTCTCACTCTAACCTTTTCAATGTAAATACATCTTTCTAAGAGCCAGAGAAACCACAGAGGTCTCCAAGATCTGAGTTTCATACTTAGAAAGGTAATGCCCTAATCTTTTTGGCACATGAGAGCTTAACTAGGGACCTAATCTAAGCTGTTAACCATTTAGTTTACTTGAGGGGACGAGAGAATTTTATCATCCTTTTGAATCAAAGCAATTAACTATATAATTAACTATAGGTGTGATATATCTCAGAAGGCTGGGGCTTTTTATTGGAGCACTGAGAAATCCAGGAAGTTTTACTTCCCCACAAATACCTGAGTTTAAGTGCTTGTTACATAAATAAAAATAAATACAATTAATGAAGTCCTAAAGAGCAGAAAGTAATGACATATAAGAAGATACACAAAGGAGAGGATCAACAAAGGCAATAGTTGATGGTTTGAAAATGAATAAAATTGACCAATTCCTGTTAGATTAATCAAGAAAAGAGATAAGACACACTGAGCACTAGTCACACAGAAAGAGGAAATATATGTACACATACAGCAGGGTTACAAAGATAGTGAGAAAATACCTGGAACTACTTTATTACTACTACCACTTTGGAAAACCACTGACATTATCTGATAAGTCTGAAGACATGGACCCCCTGAAAACCAGAAATTCTGCTCCTCAGAATGTGTTCCAAAAAACTCTTGCACACACGCACCGGGAGAGAAGTGCACAGATATGTACAGAAGCATTGTTCGTAATGGCAAGAGTATAGAATGCCAAATGTTCATGTACCAGAATATAAATATATTAATTGTGGTGACTTCATACAATAAAATATGAAGCAATAGTAAAAAAAAAATGAATAAACTACAGCTATATGCCAACACCCACAAATACTTCTTGGGCAAAGTAGCAAATTACAGAAAAATACAGTATAATACTATTATGTAAATAAAATAACAGCCAAAATTAAGGAATATGCCATTTGGAGAAATATAGATACACAGTGAAATTAGAAATAAATGCAAAAGGATTATAATCACAAAATTTAAGAATAGTGATTATCTGGGGATGTAAGAGGCAAAGGAATTAAATCAGAGTGGCAGACATAGCCAGTTTCCAGAGTATTAGAGATGCTACATTTCTCAGTTGGGTGGTGAGCATGAACCACATATTCATTTTATGGACATGACTTACATAGACATTATACTTACTATTTTAAGTGTAAGTTAGTTTATAACAAAAGGGGCATTTTGCATGGATCCTATCACTTGGCTTTGAGCTGAGAAAGTATCTTTATCACGAACCCTTGCTTCATTAGAGTGACACCCATCATTCCTATAACCACCGCCCCCAACTTCTCTCAGAAAAAGAGATGAGTGCTTAACACTGCTTTGTCCTTAGATTTTGTCCATTGTTGCCAACTGGAGGCATGGGGAATAACGTCCTCCTTGCCATCTGTTTAATTTTACACTAATAACAATTATCAAAGACGATTTAAAGTTGATTTGTGGATCAGTATGTTGTATTAAAGAAAGAAGGAAATTCTAAAAGACACATGATATAATTAATATTATATGTGTACACCACCACACACACTGTGGGGTGAAAACAGGATTATGAAATATGAAGAGCTGCTTCATAAAACTCTCGTATTTTGAAAGATGTCTCTTTTTGCTTTTAAACATGGGGGTAAAGATTTTGTCTAAGAGTCATGACTCTCTCATATCACATCCTTCCTCTCCCTGGTGTTAATGTTCCATGTGACACTAATTAAGTGCACATGTGTAACTAATTTAAGTATTACAAAATTCAAGGCACTCTTAACTCCCTCTTTCCCTCAAAATAAAATTTAAATGTTAAAGGGACTCAATATTGAATTGCAACATCATATTTCACAGAAAAATATAAATTGACTATTCAGGTTATGAATACTTCATTATGGTAGGGACAGTTCAGAAATAGCCCCATTTTAATTCATTTGGAAAAGGTAGTTATTCATTATACTGAGTCTTACGCTCAGGAGAGAGGACAGAAAGGGCCTGAGCTGTCAGGCTTAACACATATGTTAAAAACAAATATTCTCACTGTTCTGAATTGATCCTGCTGAATATTGTACTAGGGATAGAGTCTAAAAGGTGGTGAAAGAGGTACTCTGGCATGAAGAAATATGACTCACAAAAAGCACTGAGGGGAAATTTACATATATACATTATTAAGATAACAGATCATTAAAGATGCTTTCATTAACAATAATGACTGCAATTTGAAACTCACGTTTATTACATATCAGCTAACCATTTTAACATCAATACCTCGAAAATGGAAGTGACAGCGGAAAGGCAGAGTCAAAATTTCAAACTCTTTGAACTCTGTGCAAAAATGGCAGTAATCCTGGAAGCATTTAAATCATCATGCTTCCCTATCAAAGCCACACCAAGGATAACGCTCTTGGCATTGTTAATAAAGAGAATGACCAGGGAGGGACCCATACCTACTAAAACTAATCGACCAGTGAAGAGAGAATAGAACAGTCTGTGTTAAAGGTAGTCACATTCCACAAAGACGTGAGGAAAAAAACCAGAAGAGCTTACCTTTATGATGGTTTGCACTGGACACAACTTTCCCCCACAAGGTCACAATAAATATTATTATTAGCAGCTTTCCTTTTGTGGCTTTCTGTAAGTATCTCTTACTCATCCTGCAAATAAAAAACAGTAATAAAAACCCTAAGCATATGAAATCACTGCTTTCCCATTATAATTGTGCTACATTTAAAGCTTTCATGGCACCTGAACACCTGAAAATTACATTTATTATTTGGAAAGCTGTTTACTGTATATAAACTCTAAAGAGAAAAAAATAAAAATATTCCAAACAAACTACCTTGATATGATGAAAGAGATAAGAGAGGCCCTATCTCAGTCAGTCTTCATTCACTTAACAATAGCCTAAATCAACTGGGAAACATTACCATTTTTCTCCATATAAATATAGATTAACGTATTCACAAAATCCGAGGCATCATTGTTTGAATAATCTTTAAATAAGTAACTTATCTTACTTTTTTTCCTAAAAGATTCTTACTTCAATGCCAGGTCAAATGGTCAGAGTAAACAGTTTACATAAAATGTGTGAGATGAATTCCTGCCCAGAATATACTGATTTCAAATCTATTATTTTTAATATGCTTTAAAAAAAAAAAGTCACCTGGTACAACTTCTTACAATGCTACCACTAGACACACAGATGTTTTAATATTGTAGGTATCCACCATTCTACACTTTATCAGAAGCAGGAGAAAAATGGAAAAGCAGAATGAAAAATACCAAACATTTAAATAAATTTTTAATTTGTTTTTAATGTATTTTTATTTTTGAGACATAGAGAGACAGAGTACATGTGGGGGAGGGGCAGAGAGAGAGAGGGAGACAGAGAATCTGAAGCAGGCTCCATCCAGGCTCTGAGCTGTCAGCACAAAGCCCAATGCAGGGCTCATCCTCACAAACCATGAGATCATGTTCTGAACTGAAGTCTGAAGTCGATCACTTAAATGACTGATGCACTCAGGTACCCCTTCCCCCAAGCAAACATTTTCAAGTTGAATGCACAAAACTCAGGAAAGCAATGTTCTAATAAAATAATAGCCACCTATAATAAAAGTTCAGCACCTACTTTCTCTAACACTTTCTATGACATTATTTCAATTGTTCCTCACAACAAATTTGGGATATTGGTGTGTCCATACCCATTTCAAAGATGAAATTTGGAAATTTGCCTAAGGTCATGTTTAATGACAGAGTAAACATTGAAACCCAGAAGTGCCTAATTCTAAATTCCTTACTTTAACTACTGCCTTGCTAAGAGGTAAAACTAATATAAAACGCAATTCATCTCCATTTATTTCTGACAGAGATAAAATATATGTCCATCACTTACTGCCTTCTCATATTCCAGTCCTATATTGAATTCCATTCTGGTTTGACCTACAGATTCTTGCTTTATTTCTAGGGAAGGTACATGAGGTCACTTTCTGACCTAGCCTGATTCCTCTTCCTCTTAATTCTCCAAGTTACCTCTTTCCTCAAATCTTTACTTCCAAAAATCCTATATCCAAAAATATGATTCAGTGGTAGCAATGATGGCTATAAATTTGTATAATTGTGAAAAGGAGTCTTTCATAAGGATAAATGCCTTAAAATTGAATTATTATATATTTTAATGTAGATATATATTAATATTCCTTGGCCTGGAGAAGCTGCATGCACCAGTTCAGATGTTGAGGAAACATCATTGCATGATTAAGAACATAACTAAGTACTGAGTCTGACTGTCTGGATTTGAACCCAGGCTCCACTGGTGTCTAATTATATGTGATGTATGAATTTCTGGATCTTCTGCTTTAGTTTCCTCCACTGTAATATGACATACCCATGTGAAATGCCTGCTCTTCTGGCATTTCAATGACTATGATATTAGAGAACATTCCAGGCAACTGGATGTTACCTTTGGTCCTGGAGGGACATGAGAGGCCAGTCTGATTCATGAGATGAGTAAAGGGAGTTTCAGTGACACCAACAGCTATCAAGTCCTCCATGGACCTTAGTCTTTATGACATGTCAAGATAAGGTACAAAGGGGTGTGTCTGACCTTTTAAATTAGCCTGTTTGGTTTAAAATCCAGTTTACTGCCTACTGGCTATATTACTGTGGACAAATTACTTCATAACTTAGAAGTATTTTTGTTGCCATTAAAATCAGGGTAATAATAAATATCTTCACCGCATAGTGTTGTCAGTATCAAGATTAAATGAGACCGTTCATGTAAAGAGTTTAACACTATGCACAGAAGATAAGTACTCAATAAATGTTAACAATTACTGTAATCATTAGTTGGTTAGTGCAGCATTTCCCTCGAGACATTCTGTGACACATCAATTTCATAGAATGTTAATACAGTATTAGTGAAAAACATAGGGGGCATATGTATTTGTGTATGGGAATCAATAAATGTAACCAGACCCTCTTCAAACAAGAGGCATATCTGAGTGTGGAGCATTTTCCAGAAACCTTTCTCTACAGAGTAACACAGGATATCAATGTTGTCAGAAAGGCTCTTAGAGAAATAATCTGGTTTTGTATTCTCTGTCAGTAAACCAAATACCCATTCTACATCCTCCATTTTGTAGTTTTTGTTTCCTCTCAGCACTCTTACTACTGATTTTGTACTCATATTTTACTTTTTCTAACATTTTTTTAGACTTCCTGCCTCCCCGCCTCTATATCTAATCCCTGGAACCTTATTGTACGGCATATCATATAACTGAATGAACAGTTTAGCAAAACTCATCTGACAAGAAGAGCTGCTTAGCATAATTCTTGATAATAGCTTTCCCATAGCAAATGGCCTCTGCTACAAGGTCAATGACCCATTGTATTTTCCAAACTGTTGTGCACTCACCAAATGGGATGACAGAACTGACAGCTGGTCAAACCAATAACTAGACATATGGAAATGGAAACACCCACAAAGTCACCAGGCTGTCAAACTAAGAAAGGAAGGGGAATTCAATTCAACATGTGGAAATGTGTAAAGACCCCTTCCTTTACCCTCTCATACCTCCTCTACCCCTTCCACTCAATTGCCATCTTCTGTCAGTACTACTTCCTGAGTATTTGTTAAATGTATACACTTATTTTCATCCCTACTGAAATACTGCAGTTCAGACCACCAAAATTTCTCTCTTAGCTGGATTTCTTACTCCTAACATTGTCATCCTCCGGAATTGAAGACAAGCTCTGTGTCTGCCTTTTTCATGACTATATTTGTAGCATTTAGCATTTAGTAAGTGCCTAATACTGTTGACTGAATGTAACACAGTGTGGTCAAATATGTAACCATGATCATTATACATCCCTTATATGATTAAGAACTTCACAAGAACCCCCTCTAGGTTCAGAAGTAAAGACCCTTAATCCTTAACAATATATATTAAAAAAATCTTGAATCAGAGTTAAGCATTTTTTTTTTTTACTATGTCCCTAATCTTAATGTTATGCCTTTCCTCCCCATCTCCCTCTCCAAGCATGTTCCTAGTCTATGTGTTAACTCCACTGCATTTCCTCAATTTCTTCCAGCTAAGTTTCACTTCCATGTCACCGGAAATCTATCAGCCATCCACTCCACCCCCCCCCCATCCACTCTTGTTGGTGCTAAGATTCTATTCACTGGTCAGGGGGCAGCTTAGAAGTCCTCCCAGGACCAGGTTGAGCATCCTTACTTACACACACCAGCCACTTGCCACACTATTATAACTTCATTTACTTATCTCCATCCTTCACTGTCATATAAGGTTCCTAAAGATAAGGACTGTGCTCCACACATTTGTGAATAGCTAGGGCCTGGCCCAAGGGTTAGCTTAGCATGGAAAATGAGTTTTTGTTGAATGTGAGTGGTGTCTTAGAGGCAAATATATTGTTTCACTGTCAAAATGAGGAGGAAGCATATGTGTCATTTCTTTAGGGTAAAATTGGGAAAAGACAAACAGAAAGAAGAATGTGAGAAAGAGATGGGGGAAGGGTAGACAAGAAAGGGCAATCTGGAAGAGAAGAAAAAGGGAGAAATCCAATCTGGAATGTGTTTTCTTCTGATTTTTTAAGTGTATTTATTTTGAGGGGAAGACAGAAGGTGCACAAGGTCAGAGAGAGAGAAAGGGAGAGAGAGAAAATCCCAAGCAGGCTCTGCACCATCAGTGCAGAAACAGATGCAGAGCTCAAATCCATGAACTGCAAGATAAGGACCTGAGCTTAAACCAAGAAGCAGATGCTGGACTGAGCCACCGAGGTGCTATTGTAACTGATTTTTAAAGAACAATAAAGTTTGAGCAAACTGAAGTGCAATGGAGTGAAGGAGGGTTTTCAACAAAGGGGCATTATCAAGAAGAAAGAAGGCTGAAGGGTCCATTTCTTCTTGACCTTCTATGAGAGCACAAAGAAGGGGGCATTCACTTCTCATTCATTGTGTAAACACCAGACCCCAGTTTGAACATGTCCACCACAGTAAGGGATAAGATGGACTTTCAGAATTGACCCCTTCATCTGCAAAAATGACAAAATATAAATGTGGTTTTTAACAGCATAATATGAGGGAAGAAGATATGGGAAACTGCAGGATAAATACACACAGAGGAAGAAACCTTGAAATTGCTCCTCAAGCAGCAGCAGCTTGCAAGGAGCATGAGGGAAACAGGATAATTGAGCAAGGTAACCTTGGCAGTGAAGGATGTTGAAAAGTTGTCAGAGGAGAAAACTGACAATTAGACCTTCAGACTTTCTCCTACTCCTTTCTTTCATATGACATTTCAGTTATATTCTCTTAGATTTTGTCTTTTGATGGACTGGGAAACCCTTTGCCTCCCCAGCAATGTTGAAAGTGTATTTAATTATAAATAAGCCAGAACTGAAAAACTATTATGCTACTAGAAAAATCATCTCCCCATAAAAACAGAAAGTAAGCTTAGGTGATCAATCTAAAGAGGAGAGGATGGACGGGAAAGGGGCTGAGGGGTGGGGGGGAAGGAAGCCTTATATACAAAGGAGATAAAAACTGGGGCCTAGAATCCACCTGGGCTCCCCTTGAGCTTAAGACACTTCTGTAGAAATATAGGCCATGTAAGACAAAATATATAAGGGTCTTTTTAG